GCCCCTGTGAGGACTAAAAAACCCTAACCTAAGCGGGGTTCCCATCCCCACCACCAGATGCCGAAGCGGCTGTCAAAGGGGACGTTAATCCATAGATGGGCCGGTGGAGCTTGGAGGGGAGGAGAACTTTGCCATAGGTGCTTAGTCTGGTTCTAATATATTAACATTTTTTTGCAAAAATAATGTGATTTTAAATTTTAGATTATTTAATTGAAGTAAAAGAGCCGGTCAGAGGGTGCCCTTAGGCCAGATCACCAATTTGCACCCGGCTAACCCCAACAAAAGTTAGAAAACTCTTCGCTATTCTCAGTACCAGCTAATGTTTTATTGTAGGAAGATGCTCGACTGTAAAAAAACATATAGATAACCCAATATGTTTTTTGTTATAGCTATTCGTCCATAAAATGTTGATGATCTTGGCGGGGTTGATGGAATGAAGTATGGACCACCTAAACCGTAGCACACAAGAGCAAGCAATAAGCATCAAACGAAGCAACATCGTTTTATTTGCCACTCTCAGCATCTCCAACTAACTATTGTATTCTTGCGTTATATTCTTTTACATTGCAATTTTACTATGTGTATAGTGTTGATTGGTAGGGTTCTATGTCTTCTCATTCTTCTTTGTTCGAAGTGGCTGACCACTCTTTATGAGGAGTGTGTTCTTTATTGTCTCAAAGAATCCTTGGATTTGTAAAAAAAAACATCGCGTTTCTTTTGTTTCACACCTTATAATTTTCTTTCTAGTCTATTCTAGAAATAGAACTTTGCTTCGCTTTATAAATAAAGCACCAACTGAAGTCCATGCAATAAGTCATCTAGCAGTGAGGAGAAAGAAAATAATAAGTATGTTGGGACAACTGCACAAACACCAACCAAGTTTATCGTGTTGTGATGTATTTTTGGCGATCCCATCTCGACGACGGCAATGCACAACTCCACGAAAGAGCAGGCCTCCAAAGCCGCATTTCTTGAGGACATGCACCGTGTAAGCCATGACAATATTTTTGAGGAGCATCTCGACGCGACTTCTCCCTTCCAATCGACTACATCGACCGGTTTGTCTACGGTCACTACTAGTACCTTTTGAAGTTTATCATGCAATATTTTTGATGTAGTATGTCGTCTGTGATTTGCTCCAGCAACACACTCCCTCCGTAAACTAATATAAGAGTGTTTAGATAACTACTTTAATGATTTAAACGCTTTTATATTAATTTACAGAGGGAGTACTTGTTTTGTTGTTAGATTTGGCTGAGCTTAACCCAAATGCGTATATCCCAGCAGAAAACGAATCCGCATAAAGTAAACACAGTATCTTCACCCCATTCCTCTCTTCATCCTACACGGAGTACAAAAGGTTAAAGCAAAGTAGGTTACCTTGGAATTTTGTGCCTACTATAGTTTTCACTTGTTCACGGGTACCTAGCCACGCTAATGATTCATCCACGCGATTAGGTTAAGATCGTGCTTTATCAACACGCCGGTGCATCGCCGTTCCCAACGACAAAAAATAAGCATACAATTTTCTGGAAAGGAAGAAAAAACTGCCAAGCAAACAAAACCGACGCCAACCACACTGGTCACGCCTCCCGAGGCCAATCCACCTCGGGATCAACGACCCTGCAGGCCCCGGGGGGCCGCTCCCGCCTCAGCCCGCCGGCCCAGCGGCCCGCTCCGATGGCGGCCACGCGGTGGGCTGCTCGAATCCAACGGCGACGGAGCGGTTAGCGGCGGGGCGGCCCACGTGGTGCGTACGTGGTTGCACGAGAGGGGGAGCGTGACGTGCGCGGCTTCCACGGAGGCGCAACGTGGGCGAGATCCTGGGCGTCGGTTTTAGCTTTAGGGCGGCCTGTAGTGGTGGTGCCAACGACGTGAGGCTCGCAAAGCTTTTCAACGGCAAAGCACTGATTGCTAGTGCTGCGTGGACAATGTGATTATGTGAGCATGACTCAGTGGGGTTGGTGGGGCCCACCAGGAGTGATCCATCCGTGGTGCAGTATGGCAAGGTGGGTTTAGGGGCTATGGGTGTTTCTTTTTTACCAAAAAAGATGTAAAGAGCTATAGTGGATAGTAAAAGTCTGAATAATTTTGATGTCGAACGTTCAGTATTAAGTTCAATGGAGCGAGCATGTCGAATGCGTACAAGCGGATGCTTAGGGGAGTGACGATGCAAGGAGAGATGGGCGGAGGGAATGAGCACCGAAGGAGGAAAAACGGGCGAAGACAGGAGATGAGAGGGGAAGGAGAAGAAAGGGATGCACAAAGAGCAGACTGACTAACCTCGATGGGGGAAGACCGACGATGGCGTGTGACGGCAAGCTCGACCAGGGCCGTAGACGAGTATACTAAGTGACGCGTAAAGAACCAGATGACTAGGAGCGCGACGATGCTTCGATTTGTCCGGCGGTGGAAGGGAGGGGCACCAGTTGAGGAGGAGCACAACATGAGATACTAAGAGTGGGGACAGATGGGACGGCGAAAACGACGATGTGGAGCACAATGACGCGAGTAAGAGATAGATGGAGAAGGCGAGGGGGGGAGGAGGGGGGGTGGATGACGGCGACTATAAGAGGGGGCGACCCACGAGTAAGCATGACCAGGTAGCACTCTATTTCATGCAATGCATGCTACATAGCCTAGTGAGGTACATAGTCGAACGGGGTACACGTGTATGGACTTCGACTATTATGACGTGTTGCGAGCATCATATAATGTCACCTCCCCTTCATCGTGCCCCAATCACGGTGGTTTTTGCAGAGTGATTTTGTACAAGAATCAACACAGGGTAAATCATCAATAAAAACCTCAAATGTGGATCGTTGAATTAAAGAAGTGATTCAATGCTTGCTAGCAAATTTGCCTTTTTCCATGAAGCAAATTACAATCAAAACGCTCATAAAAAAACCCATTCAAACTCACCAAAAATGACCCAATCAGCCCGATGTTGCCATAGATGAAGGCGACGAGCACATGGTGCTGCACTGCACTGCATGGTGGCGCTACTGCTGTCATGCAAATGTCGTCTTCCCCGCGACCATAAATCGGGGAGCTGTTTCCTTTTTCTCTCTCACCGCGGTGAAAACCCCGATTTAACAGGCTTTTAAGGGTGGCCTCCACCACCGCCAGGCCCAGCCAGCAGGCCAGAGGAGGCCAGGGAAGAGTGGCTCTGGCTTTATTTACTCCTAAAGAATCGTTCAGCCGAGCTCCGCTTGACCCCTCCCCCCTCCCCTCCCCTCTCTCTCCTCCACTCCGCTCCCTCCCGATTAAACCCTACTCTCTCTCTCCGCCTGCGTCTTTTCCGCCCGCCTCCACCCAGCGAAAAAATAATTCCGGGGGCGACGGCCGTCGGCAGTCGATAGAATTCGTCCAGGGAGGCGGAGGGATTTCGTTTTGTTGTGTTTGTTTCGATTTGGATGGAGGCGGCGGCCGAGTGCGCGGGCGGCGGCGGCGGCGGCAGCGGCGCCCTAAGGGAGGTCAAGAAGGAGGCCGGCGCCGGCGACGTGTTCCTCGTCGACGACCTCCTCGACCTGCCCTGCGACGACGACGAGGAGGAGGACGACGCCGCGGCGGCGGGGTTCGCCGACGGCGCCGCGGACTGTAGCGCCGGCGAGGCCGGGGGCGGCGGCGGGAACGCGTCGGCCGACTCGTCCACGGTCACCGCCGTCGACAGCTGCAGCAACTCCCTCTCCGGCGGCCTCGCCGACGGCGACTTCTCCGGCGGCCTCTGCGAGCCGGTAATTATTAATTCCTCTCTTTTTACCCTCCCGTGTCCATTATTAATTCACGCGTTATTCCTTCGTCGCACGAATTTATCAAATTTTGGCGGACGAATTATTCACGGTCAATGCGTTCGTCTCCCCCCATTAACACTCGCCCCGCCCCATGAATGAAGGCAGCTTTTGGAGTGACGTCTCCCGTAAATAGTAACCGATGAACCCCGCGGCCGGAAATAGCAACCTCCTAAATGCTCTCCGTTTCTCCGGACACGGAAACGAAACGAATACTCGATCAATTTATTATCATTTCCGAGTTAATTCCGCGGCGCCCGTTTGACACCATTGCTGAGAATTGTGTGCTGTGTGTGTCTGTGGATTTTCAGTACGACCAGTTGGCGGAGCTGGAATGGCTGTCCAACTACATGGGCGACGACAACTTCCCCACCGAGGACCTCCGCAAGCTGCAGCTCATCTCCGGCATCCCCTCCGCGTCGTCCCAGACGGCCCCGCGCGCGCCCGCCGCGCCGGTGCAGCCTTGTGCCGGTGGTGGCGTCGGCACGGCCTTGTGGCGCTCGGAGGCGCACGCCGGGCAGGTTTCCGTGCCGGGCAAGGCGCGCAGCAAGCGGTCCCGCGTCGCGCCCTGCAACTGGTCCTCCCGCCTGCTCGTGCTCCCGCCGGCGCCGGCCTCGCCGCCCTCCCCGGCGTCCGCCGTCATCTCGCCGTCCGAGTCCGGGACGGCGTTCCCGCTCTTCCCGAACAAGAAGCCCGCCAAGTCGTCCAAGAAGGAGGGGCCGGCCGCCCCCGCCATGACCGCCGCCGAGGCCGCGGCCGCGGAGGGGCGGCGGTGCCTGCACTGCGAGACCGACAAGACCCCGCAGTGGAGGACGGGGCCGCTGGGGCCCAAGACGCTGTGCAACGCGTGCGGGGTGCGGTACAAGTCCGGGCGGCTGGTGCCGGAGTACCGGCCGGCGGCGAGCCCGACGTTCGTGCCGTCCAAGCATTCCAACTCGCACCGCAAGGTGGTGGAGCTGCGGCGCCAGAAGGACACCCCGCAGCAGCAGCTCCTGCACCATTCTCAGCACCAGCCGCCGCAGCAGCAGCACCAGCTGGGGCCGGGCCTGGGGTTCCAGGTGCCGAGCCCGCTGCTGTTCGACGGGCCGCACCTGGGCGGCGGCGCGGACGAGTTCCTCATCCGCAACCGCATAGGCCCCGACCACCGGCAGCTCATCTAGCCTAGCTTAGCTAGCCAGCGCCGCCCAGCTCGCCTAGGAGGAGGATCGTTCCGTTAGCCCCAGCAGCAATAATTCAGCAAGAAGAACAGCCAGCCCAGCCCAGCTAAAACTTTTTTCCTAGGAGTTGTTGTTTCTCCGGATTTTAATTTACCTTTTTCCAGAGACCTGTATGCTTGCTTGCTTGCTACACTCTCCGTGTTTCTCAGTCAGCTCTCGAGTTCCTTAGAAACTAATCCTAGGGTGCAGTTTGTTCGTTTTCCTTCCTTCTCTTCTTTTTTCATAGACTTTTTTCTTTGCTTTTCCATAGATTTTTTCCTTCATTTTCTTGTAATGCAGTCAGTGCAGGGTTCATAGCCTAGATTCTAGAACAAGAGGAAACAACAACAGCAGCAAACAGCAACGAGCAGCAGTGTTTTTCTTTGAAAGCAATTCTGCAAAAGTAACCAGTGAAATTGAGCAAAGCTAGTAGCTCGAGGCTCCAGGCTCGCATGTGATTTCCAATCTTGTCTGTGTTTGGGCGAGCATGATGATGATGCCTCTGCCCCTGTGGTGTTGAATCCATCCATCGATCGATCAAACAAAACAAATGGTATGATAAGGGAGGGCACGCACGCTGGCTGGAGCGCACAAAGTGACACGACTAGGGTGTGTCCAACCGAACCCCAGACCCAGGCCGGGCATGGCATAGGAGGAGTGGAGGGGAGCGAAAGGCGCACGTGACGGTGCGAATCTCGCACGCGGCCGCCCGCCGTAAATTGTTCCTCGGTGCAGCAGATGCTTAACGAATTTCTTTTTCTTTTCACAGCGTCGGCATCATCATCGTCAACAGTCTCACAACTGGCCCTGTGTGCCCACCGGGCCAATTGAAAGCCGATACGTCAGCGGCTCCTAGCTCTAGAGTAAATATCTTTTCAGTGTCAGCTAAGCTAGCAGCGTTCTCAGTGAGTGGGCCGGGCGGGCCGCGTGGTGACTGCGAGTGCGAGAGATCGGATCCAACCACTTCGGCGCAAGTAAATTGTTTTTGGTGCGGCCCTGTTGGATGGATTCGTTCTCCGGTGAGTGGCCGACTGCCGCTCTTGGTCGGCAGCGGCGTGGCGCCTCGTTCGTTCGTTCGTCCGGGCCACCTTTTTTTCTTGGGTGGTCGCTGCGTGCGTACGCACGCTTGCACGGAGCTGACCGCCGAAAGCCTTCGTTTTACGCCTTGTACGGTTCGCGGCGCGAGGTAATGGTTGTGGCCGTATATATGGTACCATCTGCTTGGCCAAGACTGGCGCTAGCTACCGCTTGAAGTTGAACCAACAGACACGCGCGTACGGCCCCGGCCGGCCAACTCTGGAGGATTCCGTCGCAAGCACCTATGCTTATGTCCGGCGCACGGTAATTTAATTAAGAGCATCTACAACCAGAGCCCTCGGATCGGCCTCAAATGTCCGGGTGGCATGTCCGGTCACTGTTCGGACAGAAAATTGTCACCCACTCGGACCTGGTAAACTCGGCCCAAACGGTCGGGCTGACTGCTCATGACAAAATATGCAAAAAAATCTCAGAATTGAAATGATTATACAAAGATACAAGTAAAAGAAATTAAGAAAGGAGATTGTAACACTAGATACTATCATGCCAAAGTTAACCAAAGAAAGAGCAAAAATAGAATTATTTCCCTAGAGCAGGAAGAAGGAATAATTGAAGGAGAGGACAATCTTCTTAAATACATCACAATTTTTTATTAAAAAAATTATTTGGCAATGTTGTGGGGACAACTATTCTCTGAATATTCAAAATGCTAATGAAATTTCTGGCTTAGAGGCAGAGATATTAACATAGCCTTTTACTATGGATGGACAATATTCTCTGGTCTCCGAGATGAAAAAAAACAAGAGCCCTGCTCTTGTTGGTCTGTCAACATACTTTTATCAACATTTTTGGGATGTTGTTAAATGAGATTTTTGAAAACTTTTAGACGATTTCCATAGAGGAGACCTGGATATTAATAGGCTAAACTATGGGATAATTACTTTGTTGCCTAAATCTAAAGAAGCTAAACCGATTCAGAAATTCAGGCCAATTTGTTTACTTAATATCAGCTTCAAAATTATTACAAAAGTTCTGATGCACAAGCTTAGTAAAGTGGCCAATCCTATTATTTCTCCTGACCAGTTTGCCTTCATAAAAGGAAGATATATAATGGAGGGAGTAGTGGTGTTACATGAAGCTTTAAACTCTATCTGTCACAAAAAAAATCCCAGAATGCTCTTCTGTTTAAAGTGGATTTTGGAAAAGAATATGACAAAATTACGTCGCCTTTTTTCTATCAAATGCTAAAACTAAAAAAATCTGATAAATGGTGTGATTGGATTATGAAAACTATGGGGCATGTAGGTATCAAAGTCAATGACACTATATGGCCATCCTTCAAACTCCACAAAGGCCTAATACAGGGGGATGCTCTTTGATTTAGCAGCTGGTGCTTTAGTCATTATCATGGACAAAGCAATACAACATGATTTTGTGGAAGGGGTCCTTGTAGGAAATCTTGATAAAGGGGTTAATGTGTTTTAATATGCTGATGATACTATTTTTTCTTTTACAAGATAACTAGCAAAGTGGCCCGCGCAGACGCGTGGGCAACACCTTATATATCTATTATTTCTTTCCAAAAAACATTTGTTTTATTTATGATTCCCCGCATTATAGATTATAGATTAACTTTGAAATCACCTTTTTTTTTGAATAATGACTATGAAAAACACTAAAGATATTACAATATTATGTGTCAGAGTGTTGAGCCTCACGTATTCTCGTGGTGAAGGAGGTTAGTTGTTGGTTTAACATAATATTTCAATTTTTTATATTTTTCATCCAAGTTATGCTCCACCAAGATGTTTTATGGATGTAACAATTCCTATGCTCTCGAGTAACTTAGTAACATCTGGTGTTGCTACACATCATGACTGAATTTTCTTAAGGGGGCAAACAATGTTTGCAAGAAATCAAGAAATAGAGATGTTGCCCACCTGAATAATCTAGGATATAGGTGGGTAATTATTTTGAACCTTAATGGGAATAGTCTATTTGGAGATCCATCGGTTGTGATCGGCTAATTTATTTAATTGATGATCAGATGTTTCTAATTTATGGGATTTTATAGCTTATTTATCTTTTTTCTGGTTAGCCAGTCACGTACTTTTAATATATAATATATTAATGAACTCTCGAAAGCTTAATTATAATTTACCTACTTGTATAGTTTTCTCTCACCGCTATCTCATCTTTGTGGTATCAAATTTACTGTGAGGTGCCATCTTTACCAAGCGAATGTGTTTTAAAATAAAATTTATTATTTCAATGATAATAATGTTGGACATATATTCATTTGTTTGTGACAATATATTATTACATAGAATGAAGATTTAGCTCCCGAGCTAGATGATTAATTGCGCGGTGACATTACATGACTAAGTGGAGTTGAGATCCTTTCTTGCACACAACATTTTAATTTTTAATATAATTTCATGCATTATAAAATGGTCGTTAATGTCATATGGAGACATGTAGATTTATTCCTTGTTTCCCATTTAATTTTGGAAATATGCACACAAAAAATAGTCAATAGTATGGTACAATATTGGAATAAAGGTTGGCAATTTACCTAAAAATATAATATATTTTCATATAATATTATATGCATACACCCGCCCGAATATCCTCTAATATGCCCTGCCAAGTTTCGCCATTTCGGTGGCGGGCTCCCAATACTGTTCTAGCTAAATTGACTGATCCCTGTTCGGACTCAAACTTGCCTTTATTTTATCACAAAGCGGGACAATAAACATTAAATAGATATACGTAATACACAAATATTATGGTTCCACTTCTTTTGGGGACTGTAGTTATGCGGGGCATCTTAGATTGTAGTATTTATGTTTATCACATGTTTCCTCAATTTTGTATAAGTTGCTTGCATAAAGGCCCTGCTTTTGTAACAAAAATACAAGTATAATGATAAATATCAACGAACTTCCAAAGTCAAAGTTTATGAAAAAAATTGCCGTGCACATCTGTGGTAAAATATTAACTACCGGTTAGCAAAATATTTGAGTGCAGGCACAAATGCTAACAAAATAAATGAGATTTCATCAAAACAATTGTTGATAAATATTTACTTTTTTTATACATCCTATAAATCAAATGTATAGTTTTGGTATTATTGATATCACAAATAAGTATATCATAAAAGACATTTGCAAAAGCTATTTTTTATATCACAAATAGTTGTATCATGGAAGAAATTTGCAAAAGCTAAAGCAGGGTACAAAAATAAATTTAAACTCACACTGAAAAAAATATCAACTGTTTGTATGATTGCTCAAAGGAAGCACCAGGTCACACCGATGGGAAGTGATATATCTCTTTTACGGAAGAGTGATCATGGAATTATGTCTAGCTACAAAAATACATTTTCCTACCAACATCGAGTATGAAGTTGTTTCGTGTGAATATAAACTATACCTATTCTTCTTTTGAATTTCAAGCATGAAAGTAGTTTCCTCCTATTAATTATGTTGCATGTTTAAACGCATCTGCCCTAGAATTCTTCATTTGAATAAACAAAACCATAGTGCGATTCGTATGCACATGCAAAAATGAATGATGGATATAAAATATTAAACTACCGCCTCTAACACGAACGTAACATGATGGCCAACACTATCTAATAAGTAACAGGGGAGGAAAATTAACTTCTAGATTTGTAGATATAGTAGTAAGACAAAATTTTAAGCCATTGAACGTTGTCATGTTAGAGAAGCATGAAGCGAGATAGAACTATATGAATATTTTCATATGCTATTGAATGGAATTAAACTTTGTAAAGTTTGATCTTGTAATATTTTAATCAAGATAATGTATATTCATTTATGGTTTTGTGTTAGCTCATGCATTCGACAACACAACTATAATTTTACCAAGTGGATGATGTAAATATTTTTGACTAAGTTGAA